TCTGTCCTTCCTTTTCTTCCACACCTCACACATCTCTGTCCATATATTTCCCTGTATCCGTCTGTATCTCTCTCTCCCTTTCTCTTTCCGTCCCTCTCTTAGATAGTGTGCCATCTATGTGATCAATGGAGTTCATTCTTTTTAGGAAATTCTCCTGTGATGGATCTTTTCTCTGCTGTGCTGTGCTGTGCCTGCACTGTATTGCGTTTATATATATATTTAGTTTTTGGGGCTGTAATTTGCTCCGGTGGATGAAATCTTTGGAAAAAGCAAACTGATGTTTTGATGCTTTTCATCAAACACTTAAACATTTTAGACACTTTGTTGAACTTTTAAGAGCTTGAAGTTGTGTTCAAGCAGCTGTAAAAAAAAAATAACCTGATACTGCCTGACTCGGAATAGCTTTGCTTTGTACTCAACCTGAAGAATTTTACAATGAATAGTTGATGGGTCAAATGCAGAGAAGTAAAATCTAAGCACAAAGAAAAGAATAACTGGCATGGAGAGGCAAACAGATGGAGGGGAGCTGGGGTGTGTGGCGGTTAAAGTAGTTTGTGACAGTTTTCATACATTAAGGAAGATTGTGAGTAACAGCATTAAGAATAACATCCTGGAGTTTTTTTTGGCACCTTCTGCTTTGGCAATGCAAGGCAACCATGGACCATGCCAAGGTAGCACCCACTGGAAATAAATAGCAAGTATATAACAATTAACAGAGCTATAGATCATGTGTATGAACATGTTTGTATTCAAGTACCTTGGTTTATTTATTTTTTCATTGTATGTTCCTGCAACACGCACCTAAGGACGTAGGTTGGCTGTTAACAGGGTACCCTGTTGGTTGTTTATGTTTGTATCCATGTTCATGTTTCTGCATGTGTTTCTGTAAAAGCATGCTTTTGTTGTCGGCCTTTAATTTAGTTTGTACCAAAGTCATATCTACAGCTGAGACAGACACTAAAACCAGCCTGATGTGACAGATATGCTTACATGAGTGCATTTGTTTGTTTGTGCGTCGATCGTTAATTAGATATAAAATAGAAGACAATATTTGATCAACACAATATCAATATCCAAAGCTCTGTCCTTCTGAACTCATCTTTCTTTTCTTCTTTATCTTATCCTTTCATTCCCGTTCCTTTCCTACACGCTCCACTGTGTTTTGATTATTGGCTGTGTGTGCGTGCGTGTGTTTGTGTGTTTGTGTGTCTTTGTGTGTGTGCACTTTGAAATAGAGCAGAATGGGCATTTTTTGGGGGAGAAGAGAGATCACAGATGGGCCTTGTCAAATCTCTGTACATCTGGCTGTGTTCCTGTCCAATTTTCCACTCACAACAACACACAAACATGCACACAAACACATGCACACACGTGTAAATATGCAGTTCACTTTACCTCATTCATGGTCTTGCGTATAGACATACGCACATCACTTAAAAACACTTCCACTCATCTAGCCATGCATGCCCATCCCCACATAAATCATAAATCCCCACATATGAGCACTTTTACACACACACACACACACACACACACACACACACACACACACACACACATGCACACACTGTGCAGCAGGACACAGCAGGTATGGACTCCTGTTGAGGCTGTGGTTGCCAAAGCGATGATGCCAGAGAATCCAGACCATGCCAGGTTCAATGGTAGCCAATGGCCTATCAGTGATTGCATGTGAGATTCCAAAGGACCAAACCTTCTTGTTGCATAGCGCCACCTATTGAGCCTGTCTAAGACTTCTTTAAATTCTTCAAATTATATCTTAGAGAATAATACTTCACACAGTGCCATTATTTAAGTTAATATAAAAATATGACCACAGTGTTAGCCTACATTTTCAAATTACCCGACCTAATAAGTAACCAAGGGTTAACGGTATCTGTAATAGCTAGATAATAAAGAGGAAAACGAAACCTGATCTTTAAAACGGACTTGTCTTAATACCATGATAATTAGTAAATAAAGTAAAAAATGTCTTGTATAAACTTAAGGCAATACAGTGTTTCATACAGTGATAATGATCTCATTCAAGGGTCAACCTTCACCTGCATGAAAGAGCTCTGCGTGTGTGTGTGTGTGTGTGTGTGTGTGTGTGTGTGTGTGTGTGTGTGTGTGTGTGTGTGTGTGTGTGTGTGTCAGCTGTTCATGGTCCCTGTACGGGATGGGGACATATGCTTCATAGGACTCCTGTGGACACAAACACACTCAGACACACATGTAATCCCTTACACCTCAAGGACAGCCATTATAATGAGAAAAGAAAGAAATCAGCCAAAATACAGAAAATATAACTGACCTCAATGTGCTAGTAAGTTATGACCACATGACCAGTAACATTTGCCAATCAACAGCACATAATAAGAAAGCTACATTTAAAGAAATCAGTGCTGGCTACATTCAACCTCTCAATATGGAGGGCTGGCTCAAAAGATTACGTGCGAGCCTCCTGTGACCCCAATCTGCAGGCATAAATGTGCACAATATGGACAACTTATGCAACACAGAGGTGGGATCCTAATGGGTTTTACATCACCTTTACTAGATGTTTTCATTCTGATACAGATTAAGTCAAAAAGCAGTATTTCTTTGAACCTTTATTGATATAAAAGAAACATCTTTTATCATTTTTCCATTAGTCTTTTTCTTTACCTAAAAGATCTGGCCTCAACAATCACTTCTTGTTCTTAGTCTCCAAGTGAACATATCACATAATTAAAAACAGCTACAAATTCTAACAGAAAACTTTCCTTTCTTTCCAAAGCTTTTCTAACAGAAGACATGCGTTTATCAAAAAGTGAACTTGGCTTCTTTATGGACAAAAAAATCCAACTGTTGAAAAGTTGGTGTCCTTGGTTGCAAAGGAAAGCAGTCATCATGCATAAAGTAAAATCACCAGCGTATACAAACTGTACTATGTCTGAACAATTGTTTTTCTATTATTCCCCCCTTTTTTTTTCCTTTTTTTGTTTCTCCCCCTGGTAGATCCTCCTCCTCTGTCTCACTCTTTTTATTTTATTCCACTGTCTCTCTGTGTTTATGCACACTCACCCCTCTTTCCCTCTGCCTGTCTCTCTCCCTCTAAATGTCTCCTAACGTGACCACGCACCATAACCAAACCAGCCTGCTTATTCATGTTGCACCGAGGTATCACTTTATTTCTCTGCTATTATTTTTTTGTGAAGTTGCCTCAGTATGACTTGCCCCAGACAGCGCTACGCTGTCCCACCCTCATTATATTTTCACACTCTGCTACTCTAGGACACATGAATTCACATCCATACAGACAAACACACACTCACGTACACATTTACCCACAAACAGGATTTGGTATGTGTGTTTTGTTTATGCCAGCACTGGTTCCTTGGTGTGTTAAAATGGAAATTCTCTATTTTTGTATATAAAATGCGCCATTCTGGACTTTTCCCTGAGACACATTTTGCAGCAGTAGCCATTTAATGCTTTCCATTTCCTTCCTTTTTCTACTTTATCCTCACACATGGTTTGTAGCTGGTGGCTGCTAACACCTTACATAGTTCAACACACTGCACTGAAAATGTTAAATACCCAAACATGTGTGGCCTGAGAAAAATTGGTGGATGGCCTGTAACAGCTAACAGTAACTCACAGACATGATATTTTAAGTTAGCTAACTGACCATTGCTGTGATTCTCAGCGGTCTTATACTTTACTTTTCTAAGACTTTACTTCAGGTCAAACACATTTTACTTCACTTCTTGTTCTGCTAAGGAAACAAAAGATAGCTTCAAATATGTAAAATCATTTCTTTAGATAAATTATAGAGGGACCTAGTCAAACACAAAATAGTCATACAGTTATTATATTAGATAAATAAACACATTTTACAATGTAATTTCATTTAGAAGACACTTTTTTTCAAAGTGACACACATCTGAGAGTTACTTCTACACAAGTGAAGATGTAGATGGAAGAAAACAACGATCAAAATTATCGTTAATTTTAATCAAAATTAAAGACATCAATATCATCAACGTCATCATCATCAACATTATCAATCCAATCAATATAAGTTAGTGCGTAGGTGTTCATCAAAGAGCTGGGTCTTCATGAATGTTCATGCCCTTAGCTCATAGCTAATTATTGTGACAATAATTTTCTTAGCTAGCTAAGAGGTTTTCGGGAACTTATATAGAAACATTTCACATTTGACAGCTACGTCATCAACTCTGGCTCATGTCATCTTATACTCACATTCAAAGAGTGTACAACAAGTGATCCTTTTGGAGGTTTTAGTGCCTTGCACTACTATATGATGCTGATCAAGCCAAACAGAGAATACTGTATATACTGAGTAACAGAGGATAAGGGTTAGGGATCAAATCTGCATCCTAACACAGCGCAGTCATTGTAACAGCAGACATACAGCACTGCACCAATATCCCAGTAATCCCAGAATCCAAGCTCCTGTATGTGTAATGTTTGATAAAAAAAACACACCAGGAAGTGGATAGAAAGTGAATGTAAATATATGGAAATACTCTGCCAAAGAGCAATATGTCATTTGTGATATATGCTGCTGTAATGCTTTTGGAATGGGGGATAAAAAGTGATGCATTAATGTAGAGCCCTGTGTGATGCTGAGTCGATCAGTCTTGCATACACAGCTAAGAGCTAATGTGTTTACGCTTACTTCTCCTTGTAGAGGAACTGTGAAGAAACACCATGTACTGTAGTGTATGTCGTGTCAGCAGCTTGTAATTCATCCAACAATTTATGTGTAAAAGCTGATAGATGTGTGCATGTGTTCAGCGTGTGCACTGTAAGACTGTATTTCACAGGTCAGTGACTCTGGGATTTACGTGCTGTTTTTTGACTTGATTTAAATGGAGGGAATGGAATTATTTGCTTTAGGTTTTTAAGGAAGGAGATGTTTATGAAATTGTAATGTTTCTTCTTTTTCTCTCCACCTCTACTCCTCCCTCTCACCTTCCCTTATCTCCCCTCAGTGTTTGACATTCAAGCAGGATCAGCAGGAGCTGGAGCAGGAGGAGGGCCGGACTTCTCCCAACCACGTTTCTCCTCCTCCCTCCCGACCTACCTGCCGGTCCAATGCCAGCTAAGTGGCGCTGACTCTGCGTTCTTCTTGCGGGAAGCCAATCAGGAGGTTATGAGAAACGGCAGCCTATCACAGCGGACCGAGCCCTTCTTCCTCCACCAGCTGGAAGCGGGCGTCGCAGCCCCACAGTCCCTGCCCAGTGTCAACTGCAGCTATGGAAACATGAGCATCGAGCAGCCAATCCCAGTGGAGCTACTGCAAGGGTCGCCACCGCACCTGCTGCCAACAACCAACCATGTGACTCTGAACTGGAAGGTCAAAGGTCAAGTGGTGATGCCCAAAGTGGGGTCAACACGGCCCTGGATACAGGTACTGGATGTTGAATGGTTTACTTGAAATGGTCATTCAGGTTCCTCGTTATAAATAAATACAAAGTGTTACTGTGCAGAAATAAGTCATTAGTCTACTAAAGTCTGGTACCGCAAAACAAAGTGCAGTTGGAAAAAGTTAATCTGAAGCATTTAAAAATAACAGACTTAGAGTTACAGAGTTATGAACTCAGATTCGAAAGTGACCACGCTTGGGCCACAAGATCATCTAGAAGTTGGTTCCATCTTTCTGCAGGCTGGTAGCTAAAGGCAGCTTCAACATCTTTGGTTTTGATTGAAGGAACTAGCAGATGATTGCATCCATATCTCTAAGAACCATGCTTATTCAAAGAGATTGGAATTATAGTTTGTCCCAGATTATTGATTAATTTAAAAAGAGGCAGTCAAACTTTTAAATCTAATCAGGAAGTATTGGGAAGCCTCTGAAAACCGGCTATATGTATCCTTCATAAGTCAGTCCCATAATAGAGGATTTATATGAATGTGAATTTATCATATCTTCATCCATTTGCTCATGTATTCACTGTAAGACACAGTTGGAAGAGGAATAAATAAACAACTATTTAAGTCATTCTGAGTTTACCACTAAAAAAAGTGCATTTCACATTACACAAAGTTTGTTAATATAAAAAAAAAGTTTAATATGGGTTAAAGAATTTGCTAATTAAAGAGTTTATTTAGTTATTTATTCTGTATTATGTAGTGGAAAAGGTATCGGTATCTGTTTTCATTATCTAGAGCTGATGGTATTATATTTATTTTACATTTTAACACGTCAGATTTCAGATGTTTAAACATGACCAGTCATTTCAGCTGGTTCTTAAAGGTTAAGGGATGAAAAAGGTATCCCTTACTGTTTTTACTTTTAAGAAAGCTATCTTGTAAGTGGGCCACCATTCCACATTATAGGCTTTACCGGCGTGTTTGTTTTTCTCTTTTCTTTAGGTACTCTTTCATCTAGTGGGGAGGCGTTGGGACGAGCCTGACCCGCCTCCCCCGGCCCTCCTCCCATGTGTCAGAGCCTTGGCCATACGTGACACCAGTGAAGCGGCACCCTCGGCGGGCTGCCGCCTCATGGGACCATCTGGCATCTGTGTGGTCCGTCTGGAGCTTCCCCCAGCTTGGTTTACACCCCCACAAGTGAGAAAAAGACCTCCTGAAGTGACTCTGCCTTCAGTGGATGTGTATTACTCAATCATACCAATGGACGGGGCTGGTCAGGAGTGTCCCTCCATAGTCAATGAGCAGTGGAAAGGTCAGAGTGCAAACGTCAGCCCTCTGGAAAGACTGGGATTGGGCCTTGGGGGACAGTGGAGCCCTCTAGTGGACGGAGGGCTTCAGGACATGATGAAAGCTGGTTCTGTGGGATTGACGATAGGCCCAGTTTCAGCAAAAGGAGAAAAACTGAGACTGGATGAGAATGTGGAGGTTCTGGTGCCACCCAGTCCGGTTCGACTTGGCAAGACAGTTGCGTTTGGCGTCTACATGAGGACAGATTCAAACACTGAACAGTTTACATTGAGGTAGGAATATCGATTTTGTCTGGCTTTGGTTCTTTGTGGTATTGTGATCTCCTTTTTTTTATTATTTTCCTCCATCTTTTTCTCTGATTCCTCTTTCTGTCATTTCCATTTATTTTTTCCTCCCTCCTTTGCTCTCTCATCTCTCAACACTGCCGCCTCCTGAGGTTGATGCCTGTCACCTTTGTGTACTCAGATGCTTTCAGGAGTCAGCGATGCAAATAACAACCTCATGAATATTCATGACTGAGCCGAGGAGAGAAGAAAACAGAGAAAATGAGAGGAGAGAGAGGGAAAGGATGACAGAGCGAGACTGAAGGTTGAATAGACATAAAATTTGAGTGGAACTTGGAATCTGAAAACTGAGGGATGGTTCCTAAAATGGCTCTCAGGTGTGCCTTAAGAGGTCACCTATATGATTTCTCATATAAGCAGCAATATGTTTTCCTGCACTTGTTTCCCAGGAAACACATTTCTTTTTGGTTCGCTGGCTGAAAATAAGTTTACAACCCCTGATCTTGACTAAGCACACACATCTGCATCCCAATCTCAGTCAGTGATAGCAAAAAATAACTACAGATTGATCCTCTATGTGGCAGCAGTCTATTTACCGCTAGTCTAGTTTATTTATTGGTTTGATTTTAGTGTTCCAGTTAGACTCTGAACTAAAAGGCAGTAGGCCTACACATAAAAAAAAACTGCAATGTTTTTTTTTTACAATCAAAAAAATGACAACCAATAAGGGGCTGTGGTCAAACACTGTTATTGGCCTAATTTAAGCTTTCATTCATGAGTTCCAAATCTGGGGTCCAGGGGTGACTGAGATCTCACGGGGTGCGAGGCTCTGTCTCCTCTGAGGTTGTCAAAATTAGATTTGCACATATTAAATAAAATCATGTTAAAACCTTAATTGTTAAGGTCTTATTGTTAGAAAAGTGTGTAGGCATATTCGGATTCTACAGTGATTTATGTTAATTTTTCAAAAGCAACGTATCACTTTTTTCATGTGGGTCCTGTGGGGCTCAGCTTTTCTTAGATACAAGGAGGAGGGGCTCTAAGGGAAAAAAACGGGTTGGGAATCACTATCTAAACAACTGAAAGTGTCCTGCTGATTTGTAATCATGCTGAAATCAATCACAACATTAGCAACAGGGTCACAGTTGTGTTTTTGTGCGCGCACAATCATTCCCGAGGTTTTCTGAGGACAACCCAAAAAAAAAGAACAAGTGGCTCGACTGCACTGCCCCTGACCCACAAGTTGCACACACAACTACTCGTGCACACACAATGTCACAACTGTACAGATGACAATGTATCTGTCATGTACGCACACACTATTCTTCATAATATCTCCAATATGTGTGTGTAAGAAGAACACACACACACAAAGGAAACATGAGGTGGCCTCTTTGTCTCTGTCCTTGTTGTACAACACCCCTGCTGTGTGTGTCTGTTTGAGTGTGTGCACAATATACCTGAATGTATCAAAAGATAGAGGAAGAAAAAATCCCCCTCCCTTTTTGTATGACATCATTTTCATTTGTCTCTTGGAGTCTTTATTCTGTTATTTTTTTCATTGTTTTTTTCAGTTTATATATTTTTCAGACCAGGTATGTGTGTGTGTGTGTGTGTGTGTGTGTGTGTGTGTGTGTGTATATGTATTATTTTGTATTTGTATGGGAGGTGGGGGGTGGGGTCTTGCCCTCTGCCCTAGCATACAGTTCTGTGGCTAATCTCCAATGTTAGAAGCACAGTCTGACATGTAATCAGGTTTTAGTGTATCTCATTCCTGTATGTGTGTGTGTGTGTGTGTGTGTGTGTGTGTGTGTGTGTGTGTGCGTGTGTGTGAGAGAGAGAGAGCACTAAGGTGGAGAGAGACATAATAAGCCTTAAGTGTGCTCCATCACATTGAAGTGATGTGATTATGATAAACTGCTGCAGAGAGATGGAGGGGCACGGAGGGAGACAGACAGAGTCAGAAAGAAAAGGAGAAAGAGGACATGTGAATACAAAGAAGAAAACAGAAAAAAAGACAAAAAGAGATACCCTAACAGGAGAGATGGTTAACAGTAGAAATAAAAGAAGGGAAAAACATCCTGAACTCACATCTCATCCTCACTTTAGAGCAAGAGGTAGACATGGAAGGACAGAGGGCTCCAGGCGACACACATTTGCCAAATTGGATCGGGCATCCTCGCTGTATCACCTGTCACAGGGCTCGTAGTCTCACATAACCATACACACTGCTTTTGTCACTTCGAGATCAGACTACCCATCTGTAGACAACTACTGCACTGTGCTGCAACCTGTGGAGGATGTTTCTATTTTTTCATTTGGCTTCTACCCCATGACATCATTTACAAAGGAAATACCCAGATATATGTAAGAAAAAAAAAGTGATTAAAAACTTAAATAAGTGTAAAGTAAATGCTTGCACAGGAATAAAAACTAAAATCTAAAACGTTTCTCTGACTGGCATATTCACACTAATTGCAGTCTGTGACTCCAGACCTATTACAGATCTAGTGCCAGTGTCACAGACTGTGAGTGAAAATGATACTGTTAGACAATTAAACATGTTTACGGCTGACAGAACACAACAGACATATGAGACATGAGCTCGATGAGTCTGTAATTGCTTTTTGACACTGCTACTCAGGCTTAGATATTAATAAGAAGCCAAAGATAATGGGCCAAACTTAAATGGACTCCCTCGCTCTGCGTTGAAAAGCCAAGATTCGCTTTGAAAGGAAAAGAGGAGAGTTTAAAAAAGAGAGGCCCTTCAGTTAGAAATGAAGACACAAAATAAAGTCAAAAGTTGTTTTTTTGCGTGTTATGTTTTTCACATTTTAGTTTTATTATAAAAAGGTTATTCATCCAAGAGTCTATTAGCACCACTTGTTCCGTCATTTTTACAGCTACAGAAGATAAGATGCATTTTTCTTGTATTAAAACAGATTTCAAACAAAGAAGTTCCTGCCGTGTTGCCAGTTTACCACATGTGAAGGTTGGAAATGCATATAATCAAGTCACATTTCCTATTAACTGAATTATATTTCAAGCTGTATATACTGCTTGAAACATCCTGAAATACAAAATGTGCATATTTTATAGTTGTTGTTTTTTTAACTCTATACACTTTATTAATCTCGAGGGAAGTTACAACTTCTTCACTCTGTTATTTTGAGACACTCTTCACACACACATAGGCTCGAAAGCACAAACAAGACACATGCATTTCAATCAGGAGAGACTTGCAGCGACCGCACTCAAATGACAAACTGACTGTGGAAGAGAGAGAACAGATTTTAAAATTTGACCGCGCAAGGATGATTCTTTGAGAGAGGTTGTGGCAGAGTCGGGTTGGATTAAAACTTAAAGACTAAACGCACCAAATCAGCTGATCACCATAGCAGGGAGACGGAAGTGGTAGAGAGGGAGTGGCTAAGTTGAATGAAGAAATTGAATAAATGTGTGAGAGATATAACCAGTCTTCATGCTTGCACTCAAGGAGTGCCGAGGAATGTACAAGGAGCATGTAAAAGCGTTGAACCCTGCCTGGATTTGAACCCTGTGCCATCTTCTTGTGAGGCATCAGCGCAAACCACTACGCTAAATGTTGATTTGAAATTTAGTTTTTTTTTATTTCAACTTGCCGCTATTTGTTGAATTTCTATGATATCGCAAATAAGAAACATGAGGCAAACCTCAAACCTTCAATTTTCGTGCGATAATCTTATTTGAGTTCAGCAGAAAGCTCTTGCTGGGAGGTAAAACAAAAGAAACACATTAATTATCCCTTATCTGCCCACTAATCACCACACCGTCACTTTTAACTTCAAAAGGCAGAAAAGAGGGCAAAGCTCGATGATGAATCTGTGTTCCAGGCAGCTCCAGTTCACTGTGCATTCAGCCAAATCTCTTTAACACGGTGTTCAAATCCTCTCCATAGAAGTTTGAGTCCTACAATCTGTGTTTAGTCGAGCATTTCAGCTCTTTGCAGCAGTGGGAATGTTGACAGAACGAGGGTCAAAGTGATTAGTATCTCCCTCGTTAAAAAGCTGTCGTCTTGAACTGTGTGCAATCGCTGTTTGGTTAGTTAATTAGCAAGATGATTACTGATGTGGGGAAAAAATGTTAAGTGTCTGTGTGTCTGTGTGTATGGGTGTGAGATAAACTGCTTAAAGAGATAGAGAGTCAGCCATCATAGAAAGGCAAATATGTCTTCTCTCTGCTTGTGTTTGCTCTTGTTTGCCTCTATTTTCTCTCACTCCATCAGTTTTTATGTGACAGGTTTTATAAAAGTCATTTGTTTCAGGCGTGTGAATTCATATGCGGCCTGTATTCATTGTCCCATTCCTCTGTGTGTGCGTGTGTGTTTGTGTGTGTGTTAGTGTGTGTGTATGTGTGTGTGTCGGGTGTAGGGATTAGTGGATTTTTCCTGGGATCAGAGGGGAGATGTATTTCTAAGGGCCAGCTAGTCCTCTGTTGTGGTTACACCTCACATACATACACACACACGCATGCACGCGCGCGCACACACACACACACACACACACACACTTTCCCCCTATGTGTCCCCAAACACACACACACACACACACACACAAGCACACACACACACACACGCTCAGTATGCCCAGGATGCCTTTATTCCACGAGATCTGCCATCGATTTTACCTCAGATGCCCTTTTCACCAACAAGGAGGTGGAATCAATTGGTTTTCTGACTGTTTTTGTAGAAGTGTTTATGCAACCTTACACATTTTTGGGGCTTTATGTTCTTGCATACTTCCTGATCTACATATTTTTCTGACTTTCTGCAGTTTACAGCGTGTGTTTCATATTTATCATTTGCCAGAATACTAGTGTTTTTTGGTTGTGTACACACGGTGTGTGATGTGTGGTTTTCATTGCCTTTGTGTGTTTCCTTGGTTCAGTCTCTCTTTTCTTTGTATTTCTTTTTTTCTGTTAGTGGTCTTGGTTCTCTGCTGCTCTTTGTG